TTGTGGGATGCCAACTTGCCAAGGTATGAGCTTGGGAGCAGAGGAATTGAATTGTGTCAAATCTTCGCAATTGGAAACCGCAGAATAATAGCAAGAAAGGAGTTAGGCTGTGAAAAGAAGACTTCGTGTGTGATTTGAAGTGACAGGCTTGTGAAATTCATTGCCAGGATATGGTTAGTGAAGACTGAGAATCCTTGTGCGTGTGTAACGGTGAACTTGAAGGCGTGCAAATTAGTGATAGTGCTGTATTACCTGTAGTCCTGAGTTGTGAATGTATAACATGCAATAAATCAAACCATCCAATCCAAAACCTGTCTTATAAGTCATGCATCACACCTAAACGTGACAATATTTGAGATGGACAGGTCCAGCTTGATTCTGGTGAACTGCAGTTTCATTACGCTTATGTTCATACATCTCTTATTACTTTACAGGCATACAATTTGATTCTCACCCATTTCATTTTTGTTCTTCACAAGGTTTGACCTTCTTCTCATCACTTACATCCTCAGGTGGGGCATCCACATTCAGAACAACAAAATCACACCCCCTCTTGAGCTCTTAGTATCATATACAAGCTCTGCCCTCCTAACTCCTAATATGCTTCCCTTATGTGTAAGAAGGTCTGTCTCTAATTTGTGATTCTCATCCCTGTCTGTACAGAACAATGTACAATTGCCTGCAAGTTTATTGGCACCCTTGTCCTGAGCTCCAGTACTGCCACTAAATCTTACCTATACAAATATGGCTACAAATTGTGTGCTATGGGGTATGTCCTCAAATGGGACACTGCACTTTTGTGTCACTTAGACTTTTTGGTGATGCCATTCGAAGTTATTAAACAAAACCACAACTTGCAAAACCACTGAGTCTAAGATTGAATAAAATAAGAAAAATTATACCAGTACATTTCATCCTTTTAACGTTGCACTGATACATGCAAATATCTGGTTAACTGGATGACGTGTACATAATTTTATATGAAAGTGAAGCCTTTGACAAACATGTCCCAAAAATTCAGTCTTTACTCATGAGTAGAAAAGTGGTACGCTATAAGGTGCTTTTAAGACGTCAGATTACATTGCCAATTACAAAGGAAATTGAACATAACTGAAGTACAGTTATTAGAATAATGCATGAATGTCTTAAGATGACATTTACATATGGATTCAGCAATGCATAATTCATTTTCACTGCTACAGATTTGGTCTTATGTGAATGTTCACATTGCACATAATTAGATATTTGTAAGTGGTTGCAATGTGAATATCCATTGTTATTGTACAGTTTGGTCCTTTGTACTCTCATAAATGCTTAGACATGTGGTGAGTGCTTTTAGAAACATTTCAATGATACAAAATATTAAAGCTTGGAAATGTATAATATTGGGATTATAATCATGTAAATTATTCAGAGAAATGGATATGAATGTATAATTTGTGGGAGCCTTTGGGGTGAAGCATTTGTGCAAAGATAAGTATCAAAGTTCCACCCAGAATTTCTTGATAGGAAACTGTTTCCTCAGCACAAACACGTAGATGCAACATGTGAGAAATATATTGTGGCATATCTGTTGAAATCCAGGATTGTAAAGCCGGAAAAAAACAGTCATTCGTAGGGAACAGCACAGTAACAACGCATGACCCGTTGTTCACTATGTGATAAACACCACGTTCCAACAGTAACAGGTATGAATGCAACAGTAAAGGAACTGCTGGAAGTGGTGTTCTACGTGGGTCCATGCAGGGGCTATATCTGGAAAATCGGAGCACAAACCAGTCAAGAGTCGCCATGTGGAAGGGGGTTCAAATACCTCCACCGTAGCCCTGCAAGTCATAGGAGGCGACAAAAAGAGAATGCAGTGCTGGGGGGTATAACTGGGCCACCCTGTCCCAGTAGGATTTAAATATGGGGACCTGACCCTTCAGGTTGTGGAGTTTTGAATCTGAGACCACAAAATACAGATGTAAGTCCCACAGGACTCTGACCCGAGAATCACTGCTGTCGTGAAACAGGACCTCGAGCAGTGTATTCTGGTGATGTCACTTTATTATGCTTCCACATAACTACAGTTCATCGTAACTATAATGCAAAATGTTGAACAAGTCATTTCACAGTCGCTCCTTTCATGTTAACAACTCTTACTAGACTGTAGAACTGTTCTGCTCACCACTGGCTTCTGTCAACACACACCGCCAAGCTTGGTCCCCAGCCGGCCTCCCACACTGCTNGCTTCTGTCAACACACACTGCCTTCTGTCAGCACACACCATCCCCTGCATGCACACACCGCCAAGCTTGGTCCCCAGCCGGCCTCCCACACTGCCGCCCGCTGCCACGTCACAGTGGGAAAGTGCTGCCCAACAGCTCCTCCACCATCACGCCACCACTGGAAGTGCCCGCCATCACATTGCACTGAGTCCATGATTCCCAACAAGTGTGCTGCAAGGGCCAGCTGCAATTGTAAATGACACACCTGTCCTCTTGCCAGAGAGGGTACCCCACATCAACAAACCCACAATTCTTTGACAGCAACAAAAATCTGGTCTTGGGCCCCAGTTGGGTGCTTTTCACTAAGATAGCCTGGCTGACTGGCTGTCAGTGGTAACGTAACTTTGACTTGGAAGCCAGTCAGTGCGGTGGTGAGGGCCAGCAGCATATGTAAATGACAGACCCATCCTCGTTATAGAAAGCGGCCTACATCAAAATCCCAAAACTGTGGGACAGTAATAAAAATCTGGTCTTCACCCCAGAAGGGGACTTGGCACCAAGATAGACTCGCTGACTGACCGTCAGTTGTAACATGACTTTGCTTTGACTTCGAAGCCAGTCAGTATACAGAATCAAGTAGTCTGCAGTCAGCATTTGGGAGACACCTGTCAGAGATGGTCAGAGAGTTGCCCCTGGTGGGGGCATGGAAACTAGAGAAGCCCCCACTGTGGTAAGTCACTGCATAGCAATGCCAAGTCTTGAGTGAGACAGACACCCGACAGTGAGGACGTGAGCCATACAACATGGAAGCTGAGTGATCTACTGCATTGGGAGTATTATGTGGTGACAACCGTTGAAGACACAGCATTTAGTGAGGGCTGTAGTGATTTGTTAATTGTGTAGATCCATGAACTGTTATAGTTACTCATGGCTACGATGTGTCCAGTAAATCCAATTACCAATCCAGACCCCATCTGTAGTCACTCAGTCACATGACAATATCAAACTATTGAATATTAAACCACCATGCTATAAAGAATTAAAATGTTTAATGTTTTTCTCAGTTCATAAAGTCAAATTCTGATCTGTGATATCCTTTCATTTCATTGTTCACAACCATCCTGTCATTTTCTGTTCGACAGTACATATCCTAATCAGTTGATCCAGTGTATTTATAAAAACTAAAGAATTTTTATTTTTATTAGAATTAAAAATGGAAGAAGCCATCTACATTTAGGTTTCTGTAGCCTTCTTCCTTGTGTTCCACATGTCTTGTAAGTTCTGAGTGCAGCTGAGGAAGAATGAGAGTTCTTGATGATAATTATTGCTCTAGGCTTAGAAATCACTGCTCACAATATGGAAATCTTGACTGTTGTTTTTTCCTGCATGTGGTGTATGCTTTGTATTCTCTGGTATCCTTTCTTGTAGAATTCTGTTTTATTCTACTAAGAAGTTTCTTCTAATATTCTTATAATACAATAAAATACAATATTCTTAGAATTCTCATACAGAGGAAGATGCTTGTTATTTTGAGGTAACTGTCTCTCTTTAAATTTAACCAATATACCTGAGTGTAGCAGTTGTTTGTTAGAGGTGCTGAATAATTTAAGTGATATGTAACCAGTTTTTAAAATTATGATAAAATTCGTCCAGCATGGTAGCATAGTTGGTTGAGGCACTATGCTACAAGCTGGAATGTCATGGGGTTCAAGTCCCGATGAGGTGATTGAATTTTTTTCAATTGGCCTAATCCTTCCAGCCGCACTATGGACCTGGGGTCGACTCAGCCTCTAACAGAAATGAGTACCAGGAATTAATTAATTTTCCTGGGGAGTAAAGTGCAGCCGGCGCATAAGGCTGACAACCTTACCACCATATTTGAGCTGATTGTCTAGATAATGTGGGACCCTCAACGTCTCACAACCCTATGGGCCTTCATGGCCTGTTATAGGGGTAGCTTTAATTTTTTTTTTACTTCGTATTTTTGTCAGATTCACGAGATGCATAAATTTTCAGACTCACAGAACTGTAAAGGTAACAAAAATATTTTCCATTTCAGACGGAACTACTTTGCAGTACATTCTACTTATATTGGTATTATCTGCTGGTAGGGAGACTAGCTGGATATTTGGTTTGGTCACACCCATCAGTATGCCTTGATTTGTACTTCAGTAGCAACGTATTCCAACGTGGCTCAAGCTCAGTGATCTAGGAAATTATGCTTCTCGTTTTGTAACTTTTGAAGTACATGACTCAATAACAATCCAAATTCCATAAATATACAACAAGAGTCAGATGTATTGCTAATATGGTTTTAAAATCTCCATGTTCTCAATATGCTTACCTTTTAGAGAGGACAAATATATTGGGGCCCCATTACAACATGACTGGTTATATTTTGTAGTTTAGTATAAAGAAAGCCCATTTTGAATTGAGAAATCTCAATATAAATTTATCTTTCAAAATGCATATTTAGGCAGAACTGAAAACCTAAGCATCTGTTATACACATATTGTCAGGTGTATGAGTGAATATACATGGGATTTCGTTGGTAATTGGATTTACTTAACACTTACAGATTGTAACTACAAGGAACTATAGCGCTATTGCTAATTCACACACTCTGCAGTTTGCTACAGCATGTACTAAGTCTTCTCACTCTGCTGTGTCTTCGCCGGTACTTGCCTGGGGACAGATTTCAACAATGTTCTCTGCTTCCATTCTCACGTTCTTACTAGCTGGCGACCATCTCACAACCAACTCATTCAAATTCAAAGTCATAGCCACTTTATAACTGGCAGTTTACTGCCAATTAGCTCGTTCTGACACCCAACTCCTTGAGGCTCACACCAAGAGATGTTTTTTTTTTCAAAGGAATCCTTGCAGCCATAGTCCTCATGTAACATTTTGTCTGACAAGAGGATGAGTTTGTCTCTTATGAATATGCTTGGCCTTTCATCAATTGTACATATCGCACATACAGCATGTGATTAAACATTCTTCCTTGTGCACTATGTACAAGTCCGCTTGCAATACAGGCTTTGCAGAGCAGATCATGCCGATCTTACGTATCTTTTTCTACAACAGTCAACATTACTTTATGACTGGTGGTTTACTTCCAATCAGTTAGTCTTGGCGCCAAGTCTCCTGCTTATAACATCTTGGTGGCATGGACCCCACAGAAAACACAATTCCTCTGCTGTTGTGTGAGGGTCTCTGCCTAGCAAGAGATGCGCTACTGTCACCTTTCTCGTGATCACCACCTAGCAACAAGTCTACATGCCACAATATGTATATACACATACATACATATAAATATCTTGATCTTATTAGTCTGAAAGAGGAAATCATAAAATAATAATTCAGATATTCAGTATGCAGAAAATATCTTCTACTATGTGAGCACAAAGCAATTAAAAAGAATTAGGTTGATAATGAGTAAATGTTTATTGTTTTGCAGAATTTCTTGACGGAATCACTGAAGCACTTGGACAAGATGTATCCTTCAGGCAACAATGGTGGAGCACATATATCCGTGACATCCTCTCAACAGGCAGGAGGTGGTGGTGGAATGGACACAAAGCCCAAGGATCTGGGGGACTTGAAGAAGTGAGGCTGGCTGAGACGGGGCGCCGTAGTTTCTGATAGCTCCGACGACCCTAACTCCATACCAACACAACCTCCGGCAACCACACTGCGTCACTCCTGGCCCTACAACTGAACTCCTATAAGAGGATTATGGGGCAGTGAACGGGAACCTTTGGCGCTGAACAGGAGAAGAATCTCTGTTTTGTGCTATTCCTAGACCAATGACACATAGAACAATTTCTATGATTGTAAAATAAATTAAAAGATTGACATGGCTTCATTGGCTGCATATGAGAAGAAAGTATCTTAAGCTGACAGACCTTTAAAATAAATACAGTTCACAGTATCTGAAATGGAAAACAATAAATTATGTGACAGCATAATATAATTTGATCACATAATTGTGCTGTCTCCAGAAATTTGTAATTCTTCTATCATCAAAGACATGTTGTCAAGTTTATTCTTGTGATACCACCACAAATATATGAGCACAAGAACAAAATTAATAAAAGTGTACAAATACAGCTTTCCAGTCAATCAGATTTCTTGAATGGAAATAGTTATGCCTATGTTCAACATGTGTTGCCCATCTAGCCTTTGAATGTTAATTCTGTTTTGAAATTTTTTTGAAGTAATATCTTCTCATGGTCTCAGAACAGAATAAATTTCCCTACCATCACCAAAATAGAAGTGGAATCATCTGTGTTGCCAGAGAAACCGAGATGAATCGATGATCTCCAGAACAAGACCTCCATCATTCTGTAAAGGAAACCGAAAGAAACTTTATAGGATTAGAAATAATTAGTTAATCATGGCAGAAAGAGAAAGGGCTCTCTCTCTTTGTGGGGATCATATTCATAGAGATAAAATCAGGATCATAAATTATGTGATATGTTTTTCAGTCATGAAATTACAGATAAAAATTTTTCTAAGTCGAGAAGTATTTATATGATGATGGACGTGAATATCAATATGTGGCAGTTGATCCATATATTTGTTTCAGTGATATTTGATTTTGCCATCACCAAGAAGAAAATTAGCAAGGATGTATTATTCTGTTAAAGGAAAATGAATGGAATTAACTCGCTTTAATGAATGAAAGGAAATGTAAATGTTAACTTTAATGTGTGATAAATATTGTAACATTCCAATGGAATTTTAAGTTGGCCAGCGGCAGGCCACTTTGCAAGGGTCTCATAAAAAGATTATGTGCAAAATCATTATTGCATAAAATTTTACATCATCACTTCTGGAACACACTTTCCCAATATTGTATCAATTCAAACAAAATGTGTGATAACACAAATATAAATCACTCCGTCCAATGTGACCTGTAAGTTTTTTACTACATGAAAACTTAACACCCTTACATGTTTCGGTCTCTGTGGACAGTGAAAACAGCACAGCAGCCACGAGCAAACCCTGGACGATATAAAGAACGTCTACATCAAGATAGACAGGTGGCACAATATCTACCTCATATAAGAGGGACGATGGGAGGACGAACACGAGCCTGCATGGTTTACGAATTTTAATTATTGACAATAGAAAAAAATTTTAATTAGCATCAAGAAATTTTTTATAATTTTTTAAAAACTTTACATTCCCAGGAAACTGCTGTGTTT